CCCTTCCAGCCCCTTTGCACATATTAGGGGCCAGATATATATATATATATATATATATATATATATATATATATATATATAGTTACTGAATTAACATGTAAATCAGTGAACGTTTGGACAGTAAACCAATGAATTAACGGATGAATGAATGAATCATGGGTTCTGAGAAATAAGGGACTGATTTTCATAAAACTAAAAAATGGATTTGATCTAGTGACAATACCACCACTATATCTTATTCGATAGCTTCTCTATTAATTCTCTACAATTTTTAGATGATATAATTACAAAGGTAAGCCAAAGACCCAAACAACCATGTTTGCAAAAGATAAAACATTGGAGTTTTTAAAGACTGGATTCTCTGTCTTTGGCTCACACAGACTTAAACCGAAAAAAATTGCTTCCTTTTCTCATCTATAGTGATAACGCCTGTTAATAGCCTATCTTTGTCTTTCTTTTTTTTTTTTTTTAATGTTTATTGATTTCTGAGAGAGAGAGAGAGAGAGAAAGAGAGAGCAAGCCAGCAGGGGAGATGCAGGGGGCGGGGGGAGACACAGAATCCGAAGTAGGCTCCAGGCTCTGAGCTGTCAGCACAGAGCCGGACGTGGGGCTTGAACCCAAGAAGCTGTGAGATCATGACTTGAGCCGAAGTCTGACGCTCAAGCGACTGAGCCACCCAGGTGCCCCTAGGCCTTTATTTTTCAATCTGGGAGCTGAAAAAAAGGAGCCTGGTTAGGCTCCTACAGTATAGGCATCCTAGTTTTCATATTTTCACCTGCAGCATTGATTCGCATTCCTTGGCCTTCTTGGTAGCTATGCCTCTACTAGATTATTCTCACTAGTCCTTTTTCAGAAGGCACTGAAGCAGTGCTTTCTGGGATTTTAAGGGGAGAAACATTTGCTTGAGTATACACCACTACAGGTTAAAAGATCACTCTAGGGAAATGAAATCTGGAGACATGAAAAAGGAATGGAGAGTAGTGGATAGGTAGAGATCTTTTTTATTTTGTGGGGCAGGGAGGATGCTGAGCAAAAAGGTAGGAAAAATGAATTTGAAGGGGAGAGTATCAGTGAATAACACTTGCAAGAAATCTATTTCTGTTGAAATATTTTTGACACTCATTTTAAAACTGTAATCATGTGTAACAAACACTGTCTTTATCCGCTGAAGGCCAAGACTAACTAATAAATCTACTGTGGAGTGCATGTGTGAAATAGCTTACAAGCAATCACTTTGGTAAAGAAGAGAAAAGGACTCGTGCTAGGCGGTTAAAAACCATGCAGATAAATGACTGACAACCACTCTTATTCTTTTTGAGTAATTCATTGCTTTAGGTGTTATAGATATGGCCTCATAGAAAGAACACTATAATATTAATAGTCGTAGTCCAGCGTCATCCTTTGTATCTCCTTTATGCCAGTTACTGGGATAGTAGCTGTTCTGCTCTCACAGATATCCTTTGAGCCAAGTATGTTCATTTTACAGTAAATAGTGAAGAGTTCCAGGGGTTAAATGCATTTTATGGAATTACCTTTGCTTGTTTATTTCAGCGTCACAACCCTTTGACTTACATTGAACAGCTTCCTTACTCTTTCTACATCTTAAATATTTCATCTGTTAAATGAGGATGATAGCAGTGTCTGACTTCATTGTTGAATTAAAGATTAAATGTGTCTGGTGCTTGATAAACAGTCAGGAAATCATTGACTGTGTTAGTAGTGACTTCTGGACATGAAATTGTCTCAGTAAATGACAACACTGTTTTTAGATGTTGTTGTCCAAAAATTTTTGGAGTAATTTTTACTCTTTTCTCTCTTTACGTCTATGTTAAGGCCATCCACAAATTCTATTGTATCTACCTTCATAATATATTCACCTCTACTATTACCATACTGGTCCAAACCATCATTGCTTTTCAGCTGGATGGTTGTAGTAACCTCCCAACGAGTCTGCTTCTACTCTTGTTCTTCTCTGACCCATTCTGAGTCAGAATAATCCTCTTACAATGATCTGCAAGGCCCTACAAGATCTGTCATCAGCCAGTCTTTATTTATTCCTATCCTGTTACACTGCCTCCTTTGATCAACAGTATCAACCATGCTCCCTCCTCAGGGACTTTTCACTTGCTGGTCTCTCTATATGGAAACTTCTCTCCTTGGGTATCATTGCAGGTCCTTCCCCATTCGTTCAAGTTTGGCTTATGCAATCCCTTCCAAAAGAAGCCTTCTGTCACTGCCTTGGAGAAAATCATATACAGGGACCATGTATCATTTACCCTGCTTTATTTTTCTCATAGCAATTATTGTAACTTGACATAATGTATAGTTCTTTTTTTTATTTGCTATTTTCTCTCTCTACTTACTAGAATATAAGCTGCATGAAAGAGGAAATTTTATTTCTTATTTTTACTGTTAAAGCTCCACTTCTGAGAGTGTTAGTATTTTGAAACGAACTTATACATGAATGACTCAATAGACCATAAAATTATATTTCATTGTGTAATCCTTCCCCTATACACACACACACCCACACGCACACACCAGAGCCAAATTGATGTAATTTGTTCAGCAGCTTGGTTTCGCTGTGGTTGATAAGGGTACTTACATTAGCCAAGTCTGGGTGGGAATAGAATTAGGAGGTTAATAAAAAATAATTTAATAACATATTTTGATTCCATTTGTCTTCAAAGCAAGTTTTTTAAAAAATATTAGTGCTTATTTATTTTTGAGAGAGAGAGAGAGAGAGAGAGAGAGAGAGAGAGAGAGAGAGAGAGAGACTGTGAGCGGGGGAGGGGCAGAGAGAGAGGGAGACAAAGAATCTGAAGCAGGCTCTAGGCTCTGAGCTGTCAGCACAGAGCCCTACACGGGGCCCAAACTCACGAACTGTGAGATCACGACCTGAGCTGAAGTCAGACGCTTAACTGACTGACTGAACCACCCAGGTGCCCCTCTTCAAAGCAAGTTTTAAAGAAGACTTTTACAAACTGATTAAATAGAAGGAGATCCTCAAACAAAATAAAACAGAAAAACCCATGGTGAAATAACACAGAGGTTAAGAATATCTGGATTTTTTTATGAGTCTTTTAGCTTATCGCTCCTAAATATAATGGTCCCTATTCTTAGATCAAAAAGCAAGAGAATTTTTTAGAAAGTGAAACCATGACTCTTACACAAAATGAACACATGAAAAAGATTTTATTTAATCATTAATTTATGAGAGAACTGGTAAGATTATAATCACCCGAAAGAAGAATCAAAAATATTACCCTTACATTATTCAATCAGGGATGTGTAATTCATCTACAAATAAATGCAGAACTGACTTTATCTATAATGGCCAGGAAGTCAATCAACCTTTCACCAAACAACATTTGCATTTCTATGGGCCAGAGTTATTAGCATTATTATCAGTTTTATAAATGTTATGAGTTATAAAATAGCTCAAGGCAGTAAAAGGCATAAATCCTATATAATCCCAAAGAGAGTGCTGCAGATAACACAAACTTTCACTGAAGATGCCCAATAATCTTTATGCTACATTTCTGCCTTATACTATATATATATACATATATATAGTCTTTCCAGGGGAATTCTACCAAACATTTATTTATTTATTTATTTATTTATTTATTTATAAAAATGAAATTTATTGTTAAATTGGTTTCCATAGAACACCCAGTGCTCATTCCAACATGTGCCCTCCTCAATACCCATCACCTACCCTCCCCTCCTCCCACCCCCCATCAACCCTCAGTTTGTTCTGACAAAAGTTAATTTAATTTAGCAGCTATACATGAAAAGAAGTACAGATCTTATAAATAAAATAAATTCATATAAAGGGAAAATTATTTTCTCATTTATTTTTATTTTATTTTTTTTACAAAGGAAAGAACACAAATTTTCTGCATCCATTGGAGTCCTGAGATAGCATACTTAAAATGAGAGATTAAAAATAGTTTAATTATGTTTATTTATCAAGGTACAGGTAGGGTTAAGGGAAACCAATAAGGGATGAAAAAGCCATTACCACAATTAGACTTGAGAGAGCAAGGGCGGGGGGCAGGGGGAGTGATCACAGGAACCCAGAGGGTCCATCCCAAAGAGTTCTGCTTCAGTGAGTCACCCAGTGGTTGACAGACCACTGTCAATCGAACAATGCATACCCTGACATCCTTTTCTTCTCACCTGCTTTCTTACATTCAGCTGGTACCACCTATTGGTCAGAAGGTAAGAGATCTGGTTGAAAGAGACCAGGGAAAGCAGCTGCCCAGGGTGGGCACATTGAGAGTGGATCTGAAGGGGTGGAAAGACTACATCTAGTTTGCATTCCCACCATGTACTGCATTATTTTTTCCTTAGTAAGGGAGTAAACACTTACATTTTTTGGAGTTAACTGGAAAAAAAGAAAACCCAGAAGAAATAAGTAAAGAGTCTTCCAACTTATTTATTCATTTCATATTTATTGGACACCACAATAAGTCCGACACTGAACCAAGTGAACAAATAAAGGGGTGAACAAGCAGGCAGGTCTACTCCTCTGCCACTTATTTAAAGGGTTTTTAAATGCAAAAGAAGGTGAATTAGACTTAATCTTGCATCAACCATGTGTGGAACCAAACCAACAGTTGTACAGCTTTTTAAAAATATTTAATGAGTTTTTAACATTTCTTACTGGCTGAGAAGCAATCAGGCTTATTATATGGTGACCTTCCTGTGCCTGGATGTCCTCTAGCAAAGACCCAGTGACCAGTTTTTCAGGTGTGGAACAAGGATTTTTGCATCCTTGTAAGAGGTTGAATTCACTTCAAAAATTTGCTCTTTTTATAAAATAGAAAAAGCAAGTTTCTTTTCTTTGGCACACCATGAAAAAATAGCTTATGCTATTAAAATGCTTTGGACTTACCTAAAAACCCCACATATAGAGTTCTCATCACCTTGTCTTTGAAAATACTGTCTTTACAGGTTAATTCTCCACTCTTGAATTCATCATCAGCTTTGAAATGAAAGAAGACAGGATGAATGTGACCGAATTCATTCTAATAGGACTTACCCAGAATCCTCAGATGCAGAGAATTCTATTTTTGGTGTTACTTATCATCTACATTGTCACTGTCACAGGCAACCTGCTCATTGTGGTCACTATAATCTGCAGCCAGACTTTGGACTCCCCAATGTATTTCTTCCTGGCATTCTTGTCTTTGATAGATGCATGCTATTCCTCCTCCATAGTCCCTAAAATGTTAGCTGATCTGCTTTCTGATTCAAAATCTGTTTCTTTCAGTGGCTGCATGACACAGCTCTTTGTAGAACATTTCTTAGGAGCTTCAGAGATTGTCCTCCTTGTGGTCATGGCCTATGACCGCTATGTGGCCATCTGTAGACCCTTGCACTACGTGACCATCATGAACCACCACACATGTCGCCTCTTTGTGGGGGTGTGTTGGGCAGTGGGTTTTCTCCACTCCATTGGACAGATTCTAGTTACTTTCTGGCTCCCATTCTGTGGTCCCAACGTCATGGATCACTTCATGTGTGACATTTTCCCCCTGTTACAACTTGCCTGTACTGACACTTTCCTTGTCGGCCTCTTGGTTGTTGCCAATGGTGGAGTAATTTCTGTGATCACCTTTGTGATGTTATTGGTATCCTATGTGGTCATCCTGGGCTCCCTGAAGACTCACAGCTCTGCAGGGAGGAAAAAGGCCCTCTCTACCTGTGGCTCCCACATCACAGTTGTTGTTTTGTTCTTCGTGCCCTGTATTTTTATGTATCTGAGACCAGTAGCTACTTTTCCCATGGATAAAGTCCTAACACTATTCTTTACTCTTATTACTCCCATGTTAAACCCTGTCATCTACACAGTAAGGAATACAGAAGTAAAAAATGCCATTAGAATGTTATTAAACAGCAATGCCATTTCAGAAAATAAATGACCCACTACAAAGATGTTATTTCTTTCATGATCTTTTACATTTTTATATTTTATTACTTTTAAGACCTCATATCTCTCATGTGGCACAACACCTCTGCAAGCAGGTATTATTATGATTATTCCTATTTTACAGATGAAGGAAAATGAAGTTCACATTAAATAACCAGCCCAATGTCAGACAGAGCTAGTATGCAGCTCTGCCTTTTTCTAAATCCAAATTTGATGCTCTTTCAACCATTTCAAAGAGTATCAGAAAAAAGGCAGCATTTCATCAGAACTTCTCTTGTTTTGTAACAGACTTAAAAATGTTCCTTTCTAATTACAGAGCTGTGTAATGGCTTGTGTATCTAAGCAGTTGGTACTCAGCTGAATTGCCTACTGGCCTAGGACAGTGTGGAATGCAATTTAGAAAGGAGGTATTTGCCAATACCCTCTTGGCACACACTTGCTATATCTAATGTTTAAAATTATCCTGGGTTTCTTGTTATGTTGGGTAAAAGTTGTCAGGGATTATGAAAATTAATTGTATTTAACCTGATGTGAAGATTTTAAAGTGTCTTCCCATGGTCACAACTTACAAAGTTGAATTCTCGTGTTTTTATTTTACAGAAAAAAAGTAGAAAATCAGAAAGTTTAAATAACTAGATCATAGAGCATGTAAGCCAGCCTTGAGTGCAAATATTCGTACTCCACATCCTGTGATCTTTTCATGATACAGGGGTTTGGGACTGGTATTTGATTATGGTTTGCTTTATAAAAATAGTTTTTGGTTATATGCCATAGAAAGTGACACTTTGAGTAATAATTATTAGTAAAATCAAATGTAATTATTTTCCAGAAACATGCAGTAAAATCATTTCACTATTAAAAAGTTGACTTTGCATTTAGTTCCTTGAATCTGGAATCCTCTCTGGAAACTGCTTTAGGAGAGCATTTATAAGAGATACGAAAAAATAGGAATCATTACTCAACAGTTGCCAAAGAAAGTATTTCTCAGCAGAACAGCTTAAGTTGCATGACTTTCTTGTGAATTAATTTTGGCTTTTTTCAAAAATAAAGTCGGTTAAAGAAAATGAAATCTGTGACCAAAATACAAATGTGTATGTATGTCATAGATGTATTTACAGCTTCCTCTTCTGACAGAAAGATCCAGCATCCTACCTCATGAGTGCCATATGTTTTATTGGAAAAAAATCAAGGGATTCCATGATGTAACAATATTTAGCCAGCATATTATGGTTATGAAAATGTAGAGTAAAAAAGCATCAGCTTTAGGACCAGGAGACATGGGTCTTATTTCTCACTGCGCCATTATCTCATCCATGACCCAGACCAGCTCTCCTTATGTCTACCAGTAGTTTACCTGGGTAATTTAGAAGGTGATTCCAAGTTCCGTGGTTCTGCCCACGCCCATATTTTATTACTATGAGTGTTGTTATATTCACGTCTACTTCAGTTAAAAGTAAAATTGGAAGAGTCATGAGACCACAGCTCATCTCCCCCAAGTTTTGCATTTCTGACAAACAACTTAGAAGATGTCCTTCAAGGCTGAAAGGGTCTGTGGACTGGTAAGACAATGTGAGTTCTGCTCCTGTGAGAACACGTTCCTCTCCCCATTGAAATGCACGAAGCCACAAGAAATGCATGAAGAACACTTTGGCAGGTACCTGATTTTTGTGAAATTAGTCCCTGAACCCATCAAACATCAGACCGTACCTCAACTAGTTTCTGGTCAACTGTGATATGATGTATATTTAATTTCTTCTGCTTTCATTCTGGTTTATCCTTCTGATTTGAAGCGCTGTGTTGCTGTCTCTCTGGGGGTTTCCAACCACTCTGCCTTTGGATTTACATTCTGGAAACACACTTCCCTGGTATAGCTCCAGGAACTTCTCTTTTGAAAAATTACTTTCATGGAAAACCCTCAGTGATTTATGTTTAACTCATTGTTTTTTCATCTCATGCTATTGTAGGCCTTGGGAAACTAGACTAGACAGTGGTAGGGGTTCTAACGCAGTCTCTCCACTGACCACTGCAGCTAAGTAGAGGCTGGATGACCATTTAATGGGCATTGTGAATGGCATGCAATCTTTCATGACACTGGGCACAATGACCTTGTAAGCACATGCTAATTCTCTGATCTGACTCTGGTTTTCATCCCAGAGCTGAAAGACAAGTTCAAGACATTTTCACAGATGATCCTTCAGCAAAAAAAAAAAAAATATATATATATGTATATTATGTATATATAATATATATATGTATTATGTATATATAAAATATATATAATATATATGTATATATAATATATATGTATATATTATATATATATATTATATATATATATATATTATAGCTCTTCAGGTTCAAATCCTGATTCAAACTGTCTTTGGTATGTACCATCACAAATATTACCATGGCACTATAATACTCAAGTGCCTAATCAAACTAGGTTTAGTCATGTTTTCTCGGGTACCTTAAACTGTTTTCCCCCATGACACATGTTGCTCTCAAGGACCCAACCCAGAGTTATGTACAATTACTTTTTCCTCTTACTAAAGAAAGCATATCTGAAGATGGGTGAGTGTGCTTCTATACAGGAATATTTCTGAATGTAATTGAATAAAAATATCACTTCAAAAATTGATATTTATTTCTTTTAGTACATAACTGTAATATGCCTCACAGTTGGTGGCAGCATAAAGGTGTCATGACACTTTAGTTGTAAACAATAATTTAGGGACAAGGATCCTGGCCCAGAATTTAGAGGCCTGGCTTCTTGTTTCACCTTGGCAAATAGCATCCTTATTTCTTGTCTTATATTTCCTTGTTATAAATACAGATAGATGCCTATTTCTTTTCTATTTCATAGGGATACTATGAGATTAAATTTATATGACTGAAATAAATACATTTTACCATCTTTGACTACAACTCAAGAATGGAATTATGTTCATTATTATCATTTTTATCTAATTTCAGAATTGGCATAAGAAAGAACCACTTTGAAGAAGTATTGGAAACTTTAGCTGATATGAGGTGCCAATATTATAATAGGGTTCATAACTATCACCTCATGTACATCTGAAAACAATATTTGAAAATTACCACCATGAATGGCAGACCAATCAAAAAGCAAATATTATGGCTTGCAAGTTTAAAAAATCAGATAGTTATCCGTCTAAATGTTTAATTTTTACAATACCAAATATTCAGACTCTGTATTAAGCTCATTTTTTATCAAGTATACAAATTTATAAATGGTTGACTTAGTTTTCTCCTCTTGTCATGGTATTTTGTATTCATATAGATTCAAGGAAGAAATTAAAAATTAAAGATGAATGCTATAAAACTGATATTCAATTAAGTTACGTGCAATAATTGGGTTGTTGGCAAGATCTACTGATGATGGTGACATATCCCTGAGGTCTAATTAACCATAGCTAATAAACTTCACAGAATGTGCCTACACACAGGGTGGATAGTTGTGCTTATGAGACTCAAGAGAAAGGTGCCATTTATAAATCAGCAAAGACACTTAATGTAGCTGGGCTAGTGTGTATTTTCAGTCTTACAACTTGACTTATTTCTTGGTGAACTACCGGCTGCCTGAGACCCTGGCCATGGAGCTGTGTCAGACAAGTTCATAGGTGAGATTTTTTTCCCCCCAGAAAATATATAATTATAGAATCTTAGGTTTAAATGGATCTTGTAAATCATAAAATCACCTCTTACCCCCTCCCCTGGTTAATCTGACATTTAAATGTCTTCTGCAGCAGGTCAAACCACAAAAGGTGGAATCAACTACAATACTACCAATTTAGAAGTAAAAATATTTTGGGATCTTTTTTTCTTATTTATTTATTTATATGCATATTTAAATTAGTTAGAATCATGTTATATATTCAAATTTGCATCCCAAATTTCCCCCAACTATTATTACAACATAATAATTTTGCTTTGATATTGTGCAAATGTTTAAAAACATCTCTGTTACAAATGACATATTATTCAGAGAGGTCCACTGTATTTTGCTTATCCATTTCTCTAATGTTGGACATTGTATGCAGTTTTTAATTTTCCACAGTTCTTAATAATTGCGTTGAACATATTTGTACATAATGGGTTTTCTCTTTTAAAAATATTGTTATTTGGGTTTTATTCCTAGAAGGAATATTGTAGATTCAAAGAGTACCGCCCAAATAATTTCTACTTCTTCGTAGCTAGTTATAAATCACTGTTATGAATTACATCTTATTCTTACTTATGTGCACTATTGTCTCTTCTAATCTTCCGGGGAAGTCCACCTCAGAATAAGGGACTACTTGATTTTGCTATGAGGTTGCTACACTTGGTTTTCACATATGAATAAAATTTTCATCTTGGATAATTAAAAAATTAAACTCTTTATCCATTTACCTTTGGAAGGAAAAGAAATGTTTTCCTGCAGGATAAGTTTTGCTATATTTATGTTTTCTCCCTTGTTTCATTTGAGAGATTTATGTCCCCACATTTCCTCATTCCATTAATAATGCAAGATCCTGCAAGCAGGAATGATGGGTGATGGATGCTTTGGGGGGATGGGAAGAGAGGGCACGAGAATGCAGGTAAGAGGAGCATAAAGAAGTGGGGGAGTCTCATGAATGAATGCGCTGCTACTGTTTGGTAATAAAGTGTTGGGGGAGGGGTTACTAAAGGCATTTATTTAATGTTTATTTATTTCTGAGACAGAGAGAGACAGAGCATGAGTAGGGGAGGGGCAGAGAGAGACGGAGACACAGAATCTGAAGCAGGCTCCGGGCTCCGAGATGTCAGCACAGAGCCCGACGCGGGGCTCGAACTCACGGACCATGAGATCACGACCTGAGCCGAAGTCGGACGCTCAACCCACTGAGCCACCCAGGCGCCCCTACTAAAGGCACTTAAACGGGGACGCTTTTTATGACTTTATGTTGACAAACACATTTATATACATAAGAAGCATCCAATAAGTATTTGTTG